AAATAAATAAATAAATAAATAAATAAATAAATAAATAAAGTGTGATCATAGGCGTGCAGGCTCCAGAGACCTAGGCTCGGGCTTCCACCCCAAAGGGCAGTTTTGGAGAGCCCCTGCCTCCCTTAGGGTCTCTCTTCCTCTCTCCTCCGCAGTGCCCATGAGAAGACAGAAGAGACAGGAGCTGCCATTTCCATCAAGGTCATCTCCAAGCACTGACAGTCCCCCAGCACCTTTGGAATGGCTCCATCCCTCTCACACCTCCCAGGGGAGAGGGTGCCCTGGGACTCTGGATACCCAGGTTGCTACTCACCCAGGGGCTCATTCAGGTCCAGGAGGTGGGTGCTGGGGTCCTGCAGCCTCCCTGGGGCTGGTCCTCCTGTCAGAAGGAAACTCTGTGGGAGAGAGAGACAAAGCCACCACCATTATCATCATCATCGTTAGTATCCCAGGAACGGCCGGGCTCGGTGGCTGTAATCATAGCACTTTGGGAGGCTGAGGTGGGAGGATTGGGAGGATCACTTAAGTCTGAAAGTTTGAGACCAGCCTGGGCAAGATAGTGAGATATCATCTCTACAAAAATTTAAAAATTAGCTGGGTGTGGTGGCAAGTGCCTGTAGCCCTAGTTACTTAGGAGGCTGAAGTGAGAGGATCCCTTGAGACCAGGAGTTTGAGGTTGCAGTGAGCTATGATCGTGTCACTGCATTCCAGTATGGGCGACAGAGACCCTATCTCTAAAAAAATAATAAAAATAAAATAAAATAAAAATAAGGCCAAGCACAGGGGCTCATGCCTGTAACTCTAGTGCTTTGGGAGGCCAAGGTAGGAGGACCACTTGAGGTCAGGAGTTTGAGATCAGCCTGGGCAACATAACGAGACCCTAGCTCTACAAAAAATTTTAAAAAATGAAAGAAGCTGAGCACGGTGGCTCATGCTTGTAATCCCAGCACTTTGGGAGGCTGAGATGGGCATCTCTACTAAAAATACAAAAATTAGCAGCGTGTGGTGGCGCGTGTCTGTAATCCCAGCTACCCTCGATCTCCTGCGACCTGCACTCCAGCCTGGGTGACAGAGTGGACTCCATCTCAAAAAAGAAAGAAAATAAAGGAAAGAAAGGAAAGGAAAGGAAAGGAAAAAGAGAAAGGAAGGAAGGAAAAAATATATATATCCAAAGACAAGATGGCGCAGTGATTAAGGGCTACTAGGGTCCAGTGGCCACCCATCCGTGGTGTGACTTTGAGTCAGTTCCTGTTCAGTCATCCTACTTGTGTTCCTCCAGAGCCTCATTCTCCCTTCTCCTTCTTCCTTCTCCCGAGGATCTGTGCACAGGGACCGTAACAGCGTGCAACTTTGCTCTGCGTGATCCTGTTGGTTAGCTCACGGGAGACACCAGCAGGTGGGGTATTCATTCTTCCCTGTGAGTTGGCGGTGTCCCTCCCTGGAAGGTTTCAGCCCTCATTAGCTGGACTCCACTCGCTGCAGGATCTGGTGACCACCCCACCCTGCACCTTCAGGCCAGGGCTGGTGCCCACTCCCAATGCTGTGCCCCAGGGTGCTGCACCAGCCTTGCTGATTTCCCTACGCTATGTTAACACCTTTTTCAACAGTCCCGTTATTAAATTCTCCTCAACACTCCATCTGAGTGTGCTACCTTTCCTGTGCAGACTCTGATACAGTTGTTTAACCTCTTCTGTGTGTGTATAACAGTAACAAGAATATTTCAATAGTAGTTGTGGGGATTAAATAAGTTAATCATGCAAGGGATTTAGAGCAGTCAGTGTCTGGCACATGGTAGGCACTTAATAAGTGTAAGCTGTTATACATAGAGAGGGACTTTTTTTTTTTTTTTTTTCTGAGACAGAGTTTCACCCTGTCCTCTAGGCAGGAGTGCAATGGCACAATCTCGGCTCACCTCCCGGGTGAGCAATTATTGTGCCTTAGTCTCCCCAGTAGCTGGGCCTACAGGTGTGCACCACCACATCCGGCTAATGTTTGTATTTTTAATAGAGACAGGGTTTCACCATGTTGGCCAGGCTGGTCTTGAACTCCAGACCTCAAGTGATTCTCCTGCCGCATCCTCCCAAAGTGCTGGAATTACAGGCGTGAGGCATTGCGTCTGGCCTGTAAACTGTTATATTATCAACCACATCTCATATTCAAACAACCCTTTGCAGAGTGAAGAACCAACGCACTGCTGGAAGCACTAGGGAGCCATGAAAGTTCCTAGAGGGAGGCCTTGCAGAAGTGACATAGTCCAGGCTGGCTTTTTTATTTTTATTTTTTTGAGACAGGGTCTTGTGCTGTCATCCAGGCTGGAGTGCAGTGGCACAATCATGGCTCACTACAGCCTTGACCTCCCAGGCTCAGGTGATCCTTTCACCGCAGCCTCCTGAGTAGTGGGGACTACAGGCACATGCCACCACACCCGGTTAACTTTTTAATTTTTTTTTTTTTTGTAGAGACGGCATCTCACTATGTTGCCCAGGCTGGTCTCGAACTCCTGGGCTCAAGTGATCCTCCTGCCTTGGCTTCCCAAAGTGCTGGGATTACAGGCAGGAACCACTGTACCTGGTCCCGGCTTTTAAAAAGGGTATTGTGGTTGCCATTGTGCAGAATGAATAGTTGAGGAGAGACTGGAGGAGGGACA